GGAGTCGCCAGCCCCGTGGTGCTCTCTTCCCCACCCTCCCCTCTGCACGCTGCGGGCACAGGGCCACCTGTAGGTGGCGGCACAGGTGCATCGCAAAGACGTCGTGGGCGGATTCGGCGATGAGGCAGGCGCCCATGCCGGCCGTGGTGTTGTGCAGGTCCAGGACGAAGTCAAAGGCCTGGCCCGAGGCCTTGGGTCCCAGCAATTGGTTCAGCTCTCGGGCCCTTGTCACCTCATATGGGTCATCCGGGTGGGCCCTGGCCCTGCAGGGGCAGGGATGGGGGTATCACCACCCACAGTCTCAATCATCAGAGGTGTAGTGAGAGGAGGGGAGGGAGCCTCCGGTGCTGACAGAAGTGAACCCCTGAGACCCTGCAGGAGCGACAGAGCAGCTCAAGGGCTCGCCCTTTGTGCCTCTGCAGCCTGCCTGCCCCTCTCAGGGCTCTTGTTGGCTCCCCACTGCCCCCATAAGGTTCAAGCCCTTGCCCTGGCCTGGACCACCTGCCCCATCAGCTCTCACTCCAGCCACACTTCCAGCTGGTCTCACTGCTAGGCCTGTGCACCTGCTGGGCCCTTCCGTGGAAACTCCTTTTCTCCTCTCTTCACCTGGTTAACATGGACTCACCCTTCAGTGCTTGGCTGAGATACCACCTCTTCCAGGAAGCCTTCTCTGACTACCTTTGGTCAGGTTTCTATAGCCCCTCCTTCCCCTGCATTTAGCCTCCTGGGTTGTGGTTATGGGTTCTTCCTCTGTCTCCCCCAGTAAGCTGAGAACAGCACCTCATTTCACTCCCCATTCTCTCACCTGAGCTGGCCAGAGCCTGGCTCAGAGGTGGGGCTCAGCGAATGTCCATTAAAGAAAGTAAAGTAAAGGCAGTCTGTGGGGCTGATCTGAGGCAAGCCCTGGGCATGGGGAGTCCCGAGGAGGCCCTGACCCAGCCTGAGGTCAGGAAGGCTTCCTGGAGGAGGTGATATCCGTTCGGATGTGTCTAAGCTGAAAAGGAAGAATAGGCATCGAAAGCAGAGGGTGTGCCCTGCTAGTGGCTGGAGGATGAGTTTGAGCTGAGGATCTCAGTGCCAGTCCAAGGGCCTGGGCCACCTGGCGGGCCGGGGCCCCACAGCCACCAGGACACTCACGTGAGGAAGGCGCTGGTGAAGGCGCGGTTGAGGTCACAGTCCACGTAGCGGCGGCAGGCGGCTGTGGCCACTGGGTTGGCCAGCATGGGCACTGCGGAGAAGCTGGGTCTCTGCAGCTCCCCCGGGGCCCGCAGCCAGTACCGTGCCAGGTAGACGCCAGACATCTCATTGCCGTGGGTGCCCCCGACCACTGCCACATGGCGCAGGGGAGGCTCAGGCCGTGAGCACATCCCGTGTGGGTGGAGGGCCCGGTGGGCGGGCCTGCTTAGGGCCTGGTGCTGAGCTGGGGTGGGGTGGGTGGTGAGCTCCCTGAGGTGTGACGAGTCCCAGAGTCCCAGCCAGGCAGCTCGGCTGTCTGTCAAAAGATGTGACGGAGGGCAGCTGGGCGGAGTGGCATTGCCCCTCCACCTCCACTGACCCGCTCAAGGCTGGAGCTCCTTTCATGCCTGGAGGGTCAGCACCACCCTTCCCTCCCTTTAACCAGGAGCTTCTTTCATTGCTGTTGTTGGTCCTCACCTGAGGCCTTTCCCCATTCATTTTTAGAGAGAGTGGGAGGGAGGGAGGGGAGAGAGAGAGAAAAAAAATTGATGTGAGAGAAATACATCGATTGGTTGCCTCCTGCAAGCACCCTGACTGCAGCCAAGGAATTAACCTGCAACCCAGGCATGTGCCCTTGACCTGGAATCGAACCCACAACCTTTAAGTGCACAGACCAGTGCTCACCACTGAGTCACACCAGCCAGGGCAACAAGGAGCTTCTTTCTCCTAAGGCAGTGGTTCTCAACCTTCCTAATGCCGCGACCCCTTAAAACAGTTCCTCATGTTGCGGTGACCCCCAATTTCATTGTTACAAATTGAACATAATTAAAGCACAGTGATTAATCACAAAACAATATGTAATTATATATGTGTTTTCTGATGGTCTTTTTTTAAAATTACAGTT